TTCTTTATGGATAGTATAAAGTTTTCAACAAAACCATTCCCAAAAGAAGTTTCAGCTCAATAATTACGAAACTTCTATCTTCTTGATCCTTTCAGTAAACATCTACGAACTGGAGTGATCAATTCTATTATGCAGTAACATAATTCCTCAACGAAATAATATATAATTAAATAATCTTTATATAATATTAAATTTGATAATGTCTATGGCACGATAAAATGGAAAGGATTTACTCCGTATAAATTCACATAGTTTTTATAACTTAGGGCCACGGGAACGAGAAATGATGAAATGACGTTAGCCTCAGGGGGATCTGGTCTATAACTTGACCACATTTTTCTTAGCTATTCTCTGGGTTAAATTCTTATTTACGGAGTTGAAACACGCGGTAGCTAAATTATGGTTGTAGCACGAATGGATCGGCTCGAACCGGGTAGGACCACGCTCTTGCAGAATACCAGCGTAAAATAGCAGCTTAATGCTGCTGGATTTTGTATGGTGATTGTAGAGAACCGGAGACACTTTTTACTGGAAACGAAACATTTCATCATAGTCCTCAGTGGTAACTACACAGCTGAATTTTGATTCTTAATCGAGGATAAATGTGTGTGTCCATGGACCACAGCATCCACTTACAATAAGCTGGACTGTGTGTTCGTTTGAATCAATTTAAAACCGTTAATAATAAGTTTGCCATGATAATGTGTACAATAATATGCAGACATTCCACGCAAACCTTCATATCGATACCAGAATATTATAACTTATATTTATATTAATCATTGTTGTGACTATTAGTGATTCTGTAACTTCTGAACGAATTGACTGCTTGACATATTCACACAATATATTTGTTTGTCAAGACAATTGTTCATTGCAATGATCGAATAGTCGGCGTTCTTAAATAATTTACGGAGTGAACGCATATAAAACCGGAAGGGACAGAACAATGTCTGCCGAGCCAGTTAGTGTTATATAATATATACTTAAATTCTATTTATCATTTGCAAGATATGCCCAAATTTCTATCTAATATTAGGTATCTGCTGAAGTTTGAAAATATTAATGGAAATAAGGAATAAAGTTTTACATTTAAAGTATGGGGAAAGTAAAAGATATAATTCACATCATGAATTTGCACGTCACATAAAGTTTCATACTAAACATGACATCCTCTATATGTACATTATTTTGACTATAAACCTAAATTTGTTTTAGCTATAGTCACACAAAAATTTGTCATTAAACTGGTCAATTTAGACTCCGTGAAAATAAACAATAACATAATAAACCTGTTAAACTTTTTTTGCGTTAAACTAATTTTATATGGAGCTTAAATAAAAGGATAATTTTAATGAAAACACATCAAAGGCAACGCCTTGGCACGGTTCCGGTTAGCGCGACGATGTGGCAAGTTTATGAGCAAACGCTTAGGAAAGGAAATAATTGTATGCACATAATTATTTGTGCAACGTCTGCTTTGTGAACGGACACCAATGAACAAAGCGTAGAGTTGAGGCTCGAGGAAAGCACACTTGTGGCTTGAATGTATCGCTCTCTAGATGTAACAAAGGTTAAATAAGAATTATATTGTTTTTTTTTTAACAATTTCAACGTTTCACATTTCTGTAATTTGGTTAATATACATATACATATTTATTTCACGTAACGGCACCAACTATAATATGGTGAGACGAAGTATTGCAGACACTGGCCATGGCACGCACTAACAGATATATATCACTACAGCCACCGCTTTCAACAGAAATAATTTACCAGTATTTTCCTACTGTGAATGCGGATTAGCAACAAGATATTCTTACGTACTTAATCGATTCCGATGATAATCATAGGGTGATAGAAACTCATATGAATCATGGTTAAAATGAGCATATTTAAAAATATATAACAATTCGACCTTTACTCCTGGATAACATAGGAGACGGATTTTTGGAAATGACATTAAGATCCAATAACCTTATAAAAGCGGGATAGCTATATGTCAGTTATAAAATATCAGACAGCAGATGAGCAAGCTATAATAGCTAGGATATGTTTGGATGGGAGAGGCTTTTGAGTATCTGTGGTCAGAGAGACGTGGATAGAATGACAGTTACTCCAATAGTAGCCGAAGAATCCTACACCACAGAAGATCATATTATCAAGCCTTTCCCAACCACCCATAATTAGGGAATTTGTATCTGTGTGACAAGGGAGAGACGTAGACCTTTATATGAGGTACCCGAGCTGACATAAAACATGATAGAAGAGTGTAGAGCACCTCAACTTCTTCAATAAGAAGCTGCCTGCTATGTATTCCTGCTGTCAGTCGTGGTAGTGCGAAAATGTTCCAGTGACACTCTCTTGAGGTAGGTCTGAGGTTTTTACCGATTTGAGTCTGGCACCTTTCTATGATTCTGCATGGTAGAAAGGTTTCTATGAAAATTTACCTACAACTATACCTATAAACAAAATGCGCACATACTAAATAAAACACAATATAACACTATAAACGTGATGCTCGGGTGTTATGGACACGTAGAAAGAATGAATGAGGATAGAGTGAGAAAAAAAATTTATGCAACAGAAGTGAGTGGCAGAGTCGGCAAGGGACGCCCTATACGGAAGTTTATCGTACAAATTGACGATATATTGAGGTTTGGCCAAATTGAGAGTACCCTCAACCGACGAGCATGTATGCGTAAATATATGGATGTGAAAAAACGAGAGGGTTCTGTCAGGATCGTGCCAAATGGAAGTCCGTAGTCTCTGAGTGACAGGTGTGAGAATAAATATATGTTTACTAAATATTAATAAAATAATATATTAATCGTATGAGACTATGGATAGTTTAGATTAAGCCGGACGCAGCAGAAACTTTTCAATTCCTATACGCGTATTTTTCAAAATAAAATAATTTTCATTCTAAGCATATTATAATCATAACTTCAAGTACGCTCCCTTGATCGTTATTCGTTAAATCAACCATTCATAAGACGTATATATTCAAATTCTTTCCAGATTTATAAGATCTACGTGCAGACGCGACGAAAACCGCAGGTGTTTCATTATTCCGTTTTAATGGCGTCAGCACCATCGGGTTACGCGTCAGACCGTTCGTTGAGCACAAATAATGCTCAGCGAATTGAATACTGGATTTATAAACGCAAATTAAGTATAACTAAGACACGACGTTAATACTTCATTCTCTTACTATGAAGTATTTATTATTTTAGGTATCATACACTGAGCATGATTTTGGTTTAATTTTAGGATTTACGAGCATGTCTAATTAAATGAAAATCGTTCTTCTGCATTCGCCCCCCAAAATATATAGTAGATTAGGTATTGTAATTGGCGATAGAAATTTTTGATCCTTTTATTCGGAAAAATGTTTTAAAAAATCAATGAAACAATTACCGTAATGCTGATAAATATTTTTTTACTTCAAATCTCATTACTTATTTTGACGATTTTCGAAATGATTTTGATAATAAGTACATTTTGAAGAATTTGGTATTTAATTTTGAATTGAAAAGCGATTAATAGTATTATTACACTTAACTCTCTTAACTCTCTAGCTAGACGAACATACAAATTATTTCACTAATACATACAAATACATAAGTAACATTCATTCTTAAACAAATTAAGTTGCAGTAAGTATAATGTAAATTATTTTATTCACTGAAAATTATAATAATATTTATTTATTTATTCTGCATTCCCTATTACAGAAGAATACAAAGGGCGGACTTAATACCATGGGTATTCTCGACCAGTCGACCACTGGAGTGGTGAGAGTTTGGCCAAGTGTAGCAATATAAAGTAAAAATAATATGAGAAAAGGGACTAAAACAATCACTTTCGTAAAATTATATTGATATTTAAATACATAAATATTTTTACAAATAAATTAACTATGCTAATATATAAAATAAATATATAAATTTATTTTTGTAGTTCATAGGATTATAAGACTATATAATATGTATGTATATAAGTTAAGTGTGGGGAGAACGAGTGTACGCGAGAAGTGGCTCGGCGCGTCGCAGAGGGATGATTAAAAAGTTTCATAGTCATCGTCAATGCGAATCAATAAATTCAACCCTTTTTATGATTCACTCATTCGTTTTTATTGGACTTGTACGCGAGTCTAAACGTGCATCATTCAACGTCGATAAAAATTCCGAACGACTTTTTATAGCCCATATGAGAAGGTGAAATAAAAAGACGCCTCTTCATTTTATTTGTTATTGAGTTTCTGGAATGGCTTATTTTGAAGTGCTTAAGAATATAATATCTTTTTTTATTTGGTTATAATTATTCGTTTATTTTGTTAACGGCTACTATGAACAATGCCAGAGCTTTTATAAAGCTATGCGCAAACACAGATAAGTACCGTAAAACCCGCCAACTTTGGTTTTTAATTCTAACATTGGCCACTTGACAAAAATAACAAAAATTTGCTGTAGTAAAAATATATATCTCATATAGCAACATTTTACAACATATTATGGAAAATAGAATATATTTCTGGCAATACCAATCATACGTTCGGTTACTAAGTTCACTCAGTTGGCTGTCAACAGTTGTCAAATAGGAGTCTCTGCCGGTGGTCCCAAATTGTTCCTCGAGTATAAAGCTTTTTCGCGCTTGAAAAATGATCCAGGTGAGTGGAATTTTTGATATGTTATTAAGTGAAATCTTGGTTTTAATATGGTATACATCTCAAATCAATATGAATCCTCTATTAATCAGTAATTCAAATGGCCAATGTTACAATCACTTGTAGCAAACATGTGCCGTTAACTTTGGCCACAGAAAAACAATACTAGGGCTGCCCACTGATAATTTTAGAATTCGGTACCTACCTACTCATGAGTTGATGGTACTTTTTGCTTATAACTTAGTTTTACAATTAGTTTTGGTATAATACCTAGAATACAGTTTAAAATATGTATATTTGCTTATTATTTATGTCCATATATATTTACAGAATGGATACATCTAAGCCAAAATCAAGAAAAAAAGCAAGAAAAAGTCGCAGACGCCTTGGTGCCCGGCAATATAAAAATTATTCAAATGAAATGCTTGAAATAGCTGTAGATCTTGTTAGAAAAAAACAGATATCAGCAAGAGAGGCGGCGCGACAATTCGCAATTCCTAAACAGACAATATTAAATAAAGTAAACAAGTCTCATACAAAGTCTGTCGGATGTCCAACGCGATTATCTGATGACGAAGAAGCCAAATTTATTAAAGTTTTAATTGCTGCTGGGGAATTCGGATGCCCACTTAGTAAATTGGATCTTCGCCTCGTCGTGTTTGAATACTTGAAAAAGAATGGCCGCGAGGATGTATTTAACGGAGGACCTCCTGGAAAAGCATGGCTTGATAATTTTTTGTCAAGACATTCATTAGATTTGTCAGTTCGTAGCACGCAGAATATTAAAAAAAATAGAGCTGAGAAAGGGGTTGATGAGTTCATGGAATATTTTAGAAATTTAGAAGAGACTTTGAAAGATGTTGCTCCATCAAATATACTCAATTTTGACGAAACAAATTTAACAGATGATCCAGGATCTTCAAAATGTATATTTAGGCGAGGAGTAAAATATCCCGAGCGAGTGCTCAATTCAACTAAAGGAGCCATTTCGCTGATGTTCTCAGTTACAGCGAACGGGAGCTTGCTACCTATTTACGTTGTCTATAAGGCAGAGAATTTATATTCTGAATGGATACAGGGCGGACCGCGTGGTACTAGGTATAACTGCACAAGATCTGGGTGGTTTGATTCTTTTGTTTTTGAAGATTACTTTAACACAATTATTATGGATTGGGCAAAGTCTTTACCTAGTAAAAAAGTCGTTATATGCGATAATTTATCAAGCCACTTAAATGTGAGTGTTATCGAATTATGTGAGTGTCACAATATTCAGTTTGTTTTCATTCCATCTAGCTCGACACACATAACACAACCCCTTGACGTTGCTTTTTTTGCACCACTTAAAAAAGTGTGGCGAGCAATATTACTCAAGTACAAAATGGAAAATCCCAACCAAACTACTCTGAATAAGAATCATTTCCCAAAACTTTTACATTCTTTAGTTGATCAAGTTGAAATATATTCATCTAAAAATATCAAAAGCGGATTCAGAGCAACTGGGATCTACCCATTCATCCCAAGAGAAGTACTGAAGCGTGTACCAGAGTATCAAGAAGATGTGGCATCATATGGGATTGACAATGCATTGCTAGACTACTTAAAGCAGATCAGGCAGCCAAATCCTATGATAACAAAAAGAAACAAGAAAGTTATGACTGTACCTGGAAAATCAGTAACAGTCGATGATTTACTGCTGACTTCCCAACTCTCAAAATCGAATGTACGAGGCAAAGTCAAGTCATCCAAGAATACTACGACACTCACGAAGGTAGATACTGCTGCCTCACTCGAGAATTTTAATAAAAATTACAATTATGACATTAGTTATATTTTAAACGAAAAAAAGGGTCTCATGGAAGCCACAAAAAACACTGATTTAGTATTTGAAACTGATTTACCCGTGATTTCGATAAAAGACCAAGACAAGCCCAAAAAGATAAATATTCTATCCGACATCATTTTACCAAAATATAAGACTAAGCATATTGCAAAAACTAAAACTAAATACTTTAAAGAAATTGATACAAGCTTCAACATTTTATCACAAACTTTTCCTTCAGAACGCAATATTATCATAGAAAAACCACATAGTGAAAATTCGGGTGGTAAGGTAAGAAAAATAGATAATATTGCTTTTAATATTAACGTTCATGGTGTTTTAAGTAGTGACGATAATGAGGATATTAGGGATATTGTGAGTTGTTCTGCAAATAGCAGAGAGAAAACTAACAGTAAAAAAAGGAAGAAAAAACGTCGTTTGAGAAAAACCGTCAAAAAGGAAAACGTAAAACCAGTTAAGAGACCAAGAAAATCTCTAGATAGTTCTACAACTACTGAGGAAGATTGCATTAGCACCCATAGTGATTCTGATGTTTCAAATTTTGAAATAAGTATGGAAGAGTCTACAAATATTGATGAATCTATAAATATGGATAAACAAATAATAAAAGAAGATATACATCAAATTGACAAGAATTCAAAGAAAAAAGAGTATTATGAATTAGGAGAAAAAGTGTTGGTAAGATACCATCAGTCAAATAACTGGAAGTACTATGTAGGATTAATTGAAAGTGTTAATGACAATTCCAAAACTTTTAATATATCTTATTACAAATGCATAAAAACAAAGGATTCAGATGATATTAAATTTATTAAACCTAAGCTCTTGGATCGAGATATAGCCGTACCAGAAAGTAACATTGTTAAAATTATAGAACTTTTACAATTCAATGAAAGTCCTGAAGAATATGCATTAATGTGTGATAAGGATTCTGTGTACTTTTAAGAATTTGATATTATGTCTTGTGTTATCACAAAAAGTATATTGCTGTATTTCTTTGGTATTTACTAGAATGTGTCATTTACACGCTCATTTCCTAAAGTTCCTAAAGTATCTATGTTTTTCATTTATTATTTTTTGTTTTCAGTAGGTACGTAGGTTCTAAATAAACACTAAGCTTGGTACCTATTGTTATATATATTTTTATTTATAAATTTGAGAATTTTAAAATTTCACCTCAACGTGATGATTAAGTAGTCTTGAGATTACTAAATTGAAAAATGAATCTTTTTTTAAGAATTTTGATCTCACAAATATGTGATAGTAATTTAAGTACTTACTCATAATCATTTAATACTTGATATAATTTGATAGTCTATGTTGTTGTCTACTTGCTTAGTAAAAGTGCCATATTTTATATGCTAATATTGTACCAAATAAATCTCATATAATAAAATGCGATTGATTAAAAACATGTTTTTTTTTGTAAAACACTCAACCAATATATATTAATTAAAAAAATTGACAACCCTGAGTCTAAAACTGTTTTGTATGGAAATTTAAAAAAAGTTTCGGGTATCTTTGGCCACCTCGCTGTAAGCCAAAATATTTAACTTTTTGTGATTATTGCCTTTTACACGTCTTCTTTAGCCAGTTTCCTGTCATAGTTCTTAAAGTAAATGGCATTGAGACTATAATTCAAGAGTTATAAGCAGTGGCTAATGTTGACAGAAAGCTGATGTAATTTTGGCCGACTAAAAAAATATATTTTTAGGTAAGAAACTGTCCTAATTTTCGCAATTTCCGTGAATTAACATCAACAGTTGAGGTTTCTGGTGTTAAACAAATATGAAAAACTAATATTTTACTAACAGTTTTTTTTTGATTTAAAGTTGATTAAGTGCAAAATGTGGCCAATGTTGGCAGGTTTTACGGTACATGTTTTAATATAGCCAGGTGTTAAAAAATCGGTGCTAGGCTAATAGGTGTCACTGAAATAATTAATAAAAAAGCCAAAAAATACTTTGCATACCCACTTATATTTTACGATCGCTAACATAATAGTAAAGTTACAGCTTATATTACATGTCCCAACAGCTGGGCACAGGGCTTCTCTCATTTTCTGAGAGGGTGTTATGGTAAGGACCGCTGCGTTGCTCCAGTGCGTACGTAATCTCTTCAATATATTTTGTTTTAATATCTCAAACATGCAGGATTCCTCACGATACTTTCCTTCACTACCAAGCACGTGAGAAATTAAGCTCATAATATTAGAATTACCTACTTCGTTGTTGCCAGTACCTGAGCTACCACGACTCATAAGGTGTTATAAATAAATGTCTACTTGTCAGATTCTGAGACCTCTGGTATCTTAAGTGTAAGATTGGAACTCCAGTCGAAACCAATATTTTTGTGCAAACAATCCGTTGCTATTCTAGACTTACAAATTACTATTATTACAACCACCTTAGGGCACACTATTAACATCTTCTTTACACCTCCTTAACATTTTGATCGAAATTAGTTTCATTTATATCTCTATGTTAATCGCTACTTTCTGTAGAAGGGTTTTAAAACCGAGTTGCAAATTGTCTCAAAAAACCTAAACGATTTGAAAAAGTTCCATTTAAGCCGGGTTACAAAAAATGGGAACAGGGCGCTTCCGCGCTATCCACGTTATCTTCTTGGGAACAGAAACTGCCGACGCTGACGCCTGTCAAGCAAATTTTGTGAATATCCCCTGAATTGTGTTCCATTGTTATTTTTCGCACGTACGCTTTATTCTAGTCATTCTGAAAATCGTATGGTAAAATCAAGTTGATTTTTTTTGTCTAGTTTATCATTAACTATTATTAACTAACAAATTATTGAAAACTTATCATTATTCTACTAATTTAAAACATGCTTTTGCAGTGTATCAGTTACGTAGAAAATTAGGACTTTTATTTTTAAATACTACTATAAAGGTTGTAATACCAATCGTAATCAGTTTTTAAATAAATAATAATGAGATTTTTTATTGTTTAATTAAAAACCATTTTTAATATTTCCCTGTTGATTGTAATTAATTATAATAAATCGTTCTGTTCTTGAATATAAAAAAATGGACTAAACTGAACCCATCATTTGAATTGAGCTTTTATGTTCATAAATTATCTGACTTCCATTATATATAAAATAAATAATAGTTTAAAAAAAACTAAAAAAGCACACTTTTGTAGATAGTAGTATAACGTAAAAAGTTTCAGATATTTTTATGATGACGCTAATTTTACAAATATCCACAAAAATATTTACAAAAAATGACATCAAGCACCCCACGCATATTTACAATAAAATGATTTTATTATGTTAATCACTATTTTCTTACTTTTTAACTTATTGAAAATTATTTTCTATTTTTAAGTTCGGCTATCAACAAAAGTGTGTTTTTTTTTAACTTTTTTTAAGCTATTATTTATTTTCTATTTTTTAGTACGGCTAACTACAAAAGCGTGTTTTTTGGAACGGAGTTCTTTTACGCAGCTAACAGTAGATTGAACTGGCAGAAATCGTAGTTGTTTTATGAATTATTTCCTAATCCTTAGGATCCTGGCTAGGATAATGGGACAAACTATTTAAATTATTGCATTATCATCGGTCCTTGAGAAGTGTGCGCAGTTTCAAATCAATCAGAATCTATATCGAATAGGAGTGACAGACGAGCACACAGTCCAACTGATGGTAAGTGAATACTGTGGCCCACAGACATCTACATTTATCCTCGATTAAAAATCAAAATGCAGATATGTTGTCACCCCTGAGGACTAATGAAATCCGTTACTCTATACTCACCATACAAAACACAGCAGCATTAAGCTGCTATTTTATGCTGGTATTCTGTGAGAGCGTGATGACCCCGGTCGTGCCGACCCATTCGTGCTACAACCATAATATAGCTGAAGCGTGGCTCTACAATTTTCCTGATAATATTAAAAAAAATAAAAAAATGTGGTCGCCAATCCTTCCGCTAAGCGTGGCAACTATGGCAAATATCTCCCTATGAGGCAATCTATCTGTGAAGCCCATATACAGCAGTAGACTTTTCATCATCATCATCATTTATCAATTCGACGTCGCTTAATTTTATTTATATAGCGATAAATTTGATTTTAACATTTGCGGAAATATCAGTACCGGTTGTGGTGCGGTTGAATAGAGTTTTATTCTATAAAATGTGTCATTATGTTATGAGAATTATCTTTTTTTATATAGAATTAGGGTGACAAACGAGCTCACAGTCCGATGATGGTAAGTGGTTGCTCTGGCTCACAGACATCTGCATATATCTTCGTTTGCGAATTAAAATACAGATGCGATGTCAGCCGTGAGGACTAAGATAGAATGCCTCTTTTCCAGTAAAAAGTGTCTCCGGTTCTCTACACTCACCATACGAAACACAGCAGCATTAAGCTGCTATTTTACGCTGGTATTCTGCTTCCCCGGTCGAGCCGATCCATTCTTGCTACAACTATTTATACATTATTTATACATTAACAGTGGTAGAGCCACGCGGCAGCTTTTGCTGTCGCACGGATGGGCCAGCTCGAACCGGGGTGGTACCACGAGCTCACAGAATACCAGCGTGAAGTAGAAGTTTACCTCTGCGTTTCGCTTGGTAGGTGCAGGTGGCCGGAGGCCCTTTTTACTGGAAATATGTCATTCCATCCTATTCCTCACGGGTGAAAATGCATCTGCATTTTGATTTGTAATAGGGGATAGATTTAGATGTCTATGGGCCGCAGCAACCATTTACCATCAGGTGGACTGTGTGCTCGTTTGTCACTCTTATCCTATAAAAAAAAACTATACTATTAATATAGTTGTATGCCCTACCACGTACCTGTTTCGGTTTAAACTAATCGAAGTGCTAGTGAGTGAGTATTTGCTTTGTAATGACAATAACGTGATAAAAAAAATTTATAGTATAGTTGTAGCACGAATGGGTTGGCTGGACCGGGGAAGGACCACGTTCTCACAAAATACCAGCGTAAAATAGCAGCTTAAGGCTGCTGTGTTTTGTGTGGTGAGTGTAGAGAACCGGAGACCCTATTCACTGGAAACGAGGCAATCCATCTTAGTCCTCACGGGTGACAACGCATCTGCATTTTGATTCGCAAACGAGGATAGATGTAGATGTCTATGGGCCACAGCAACCACTTACCATCAGGTGGACTGTGTGCTCGTTTGTCACTCTAACCTGTAAAAAAAATAGTAAATGACAGCAAATCTTATGGCTTTCAATAGATGGCGATAGACTAACTCTTTTACGCTGACATAAAATAGCTAAGCGACAGATAGCAGCGTTAAAGGTGCGAGGCGTCTGTTTATGCGATTATCAATCCTGTCAAGCACAATGATTAAGGCAAATTTTCCCAACAGCGGAAGAGGCCCATGTCCAGCAGAGAACAAAGAGAAGTAAAAGAAGAAGGTGGTCATCTTTATAAATGGTTCGCTTTAAATATTTATTAAACATCCCTCATGTTCCTTCTGTATTTTTGTCCAATTCTTTGTGACTCAAAAGTCTAAAAAAGAGTTCGTAAATTAGAATCGTTCTCTATTTTTCATTGAAGTTTGCAGTCCATGAAGGTCTTTGTTTCTTTAAATTAGAGTAATTGTTGCGCTAAGCGATATATCTGATACAGCGATCGTCACAAGTCCTCCCTACAACGGGAGAGGCTTTTGTCCGACACATTTACGGGCTGAAATGGAGGATAGTTGTTAAACCTTTCCTTATTTCCTTTTTCGTATTTTCTTAGAGCACGTTATTATATGTACGGATCCCTTGGAATTATAGTAATCTATGAACTTGATCGATTTTTATAATGAACTTACCTACACGTGATAAGTATAAACATATTTATGTTAATACTGTTTGGGTTGAGGAAACGGTGTAGTTCATAAGATAAAAATTAGGGCGAACATTAAAACCAAATAAATTACCAATTTTAAGACTTTAAAGCAAA